TGATATGTGCTTCCAAAATAATGCAGTGCGGATCGTGTTGTTGCCATGTTGTCTATTTATAGAAGCAATAATGCTTGTTTCGCAAAAAGTCCTTAAATTCTGGTTGACCGGTCGACCAAACTACAAATGGCTCTATAATAGCTTAGTGGGTCCGCACACAACGCTGGCTGTAAACAGTAACGAGTATGTGTGTGCATGCGGATGTATTCAAGCAGTCACTATGTCAACCAGTTAGTTATTTAGTTTTTGAAAGCTTTTGCCTCGGTGCAAGTGCACAACGATACGCCAAAGTCCACTCGACTGGGGTTCTTAACCAAATGAAGATATTTTCTGTGTTTGAACAACACATACGCACTGCTGGACTCATGAGGCAATTCAACACATACATATCTATACATGCACACGTGATATGCTCATTTCATCGTACGCTTTCTGAGATGATTCCTGCATGTGAGATTTACTATTTTCGGCCGGGCTGCATTCTTCCTCGAGCTCATCTTTGCCTGCTTGCCGGTATGAGTTAATAACTGCTGACGTTTTGGTTAAATTTGATTGGATGATTTCCATGTAACACCTTATGTTCAGAGCGTTTTGAATTTCCCGCCGTTCTCTCTGTTCCCTCTCCTCCACTGTTAGTTGCCTTTTTTGGTTGTCATTTACAGTACTCTTGGCCATTCTTGGCAGCATTTTAATGAATGTTGTCAACTGTTGGCTTTGGAAAGACTTTGATTGCTGTTGTTGTATCTTTTTATGAGACAAAATCTGAACATGATAATTAAGTTATAAACCTGAGCCTCAATAACTTGCAATTTATGCTTTAGAGGCAAGCATTCGCACAATGGAGAATTTGTATTGAGCATTTTTCTATTTTAAATTCATTGAATCGAACCAATTTAGCAATGTTTGTTATGTTTAATTGAGCCAGTTGAGTGAGTTTAATAGAAATCATCAAATTTCACACAAGCCTTTATGTTGGGAACGCGGTGTAACCAAACAAAGATGGACCCAAATATTGAGCCAAAAGATGGAAATAGTTAATGGTATCTGGTTCATGCTTGTTTTTCAGCTTTCTCTTGATCTCAAAATTACGCCACTTTCTATATTTATATTAGTGTCATTTCCATTTGTGATATACATCACCCACTAAAATTATGTGCCGGAGCTTGTAAACTGTTTCAAAGAAAATGGTCCCACCACAGCAGTAGAAATCCCCACACAACTGCGCAAGTGGCATGAAGGAATGATTCCACCAACCAGCAGTCATCAACCAGCCGAAGCCGGAAGTGTCAATGAGCGACATTAATAACCTGTATTGTGCCGACCACCGCTGCCGTCGGCATACAGATGAGTGATGAAAGTCTATTAAAGAACGGAAAAAATAAAGAAATAACGAAGTAGCAATGTCTTCGCGTTAGCAATTGGCCTGGGAGAGGCGATCGGCAGGTGGAACCACAAATATGAACACAGTTATGATATTGAGATCGAACTTCCGCGAATTTACACACACTCGTGCCACAATCTGCAAATACCGACATATATGTACCGTAAACAATTCGACAGAAGCAGGCTTATGAATGTCAAAAATGGCCTCGAGCCAGGTGGATGTCGAACAACAAAGCAAGCAGGATGAATATGAAAACTGGACTGAATGGATGGCGAGCGACAGCGTTTAATGAATGGTAATTAAAACACAACGAAAACGCATTTCGCCGCGAGGGAGAAATGAAGAGAAGTAGCAAAAGTGATTATTTTGCGCAGCATTATATTTATTACGGTTTTTTAAACCCAGTAAAGCCCATTTAAAGCCCAGTAAAATATTGACAGGGTACTTTATATTTGTAAAGATAAGGATAAGGATGAGGACAAGGATAAAAATAAGGATAAGGATAAATATAAGGATACGGATAAGGATAAGGATAAGGATGAGGATAAGGATAAAAATAAGGATAAGGATAAGGATAAGAATAAAAATAAGGATAAGAATAAGGATGAGGATAAGGATAAGGATAAGGATAAGGATAAGGATAAGGATAAGGATAAGCATGAGGATAAGGATAAGGATAAAGATAAGGATAAGAATAAGGATAAAGATTAAGATAAAGATAATATTGGGTTTCTACCGAGATAAGTATTCCTCAATTATTTTTCATCTTCTCTATCTTATTCATTAATATGCACCCAAGTAGAACTATATATATGTAGTATCAGCATCTGTGCAGCAACATGAGCAATGCTCGTGTATTTTCAGTTATTAAAAATAATAATAATCACGAAATTCAATTTCCAGAACGCATCAAGCAAGCTGTGCTAATTCTGTCTGCATTGTGTCATCACTTTATTAGCGCAGCGTGAAATATGTTTTCATTTGTTGCTGCCACAAAGCAGTAGCGAAATAAAATTATATGATTTGAATAACAATTGAATTAAAATCAGTAGAAAGAAACAAAACAACCCTCAGCCGTGCACCAAGACTGCAAAATAACGAAGAAGAACAAGATGTACCATACATGTATGTACATATGTATGTAGACAGGCCTGACACGCACCAAATCAAAAGAAATACTGGAAATTACCGCAGCAACATGTCGTGCTGCCAACAACCGACTGCTACAGCTAACTACATGAGTGTGTGTGTGTGTGTACGGTTATTTGGTTGTTGCCTGCCACAGCACAATTACGAGCGAAATTAAATCATTGCATGTACAATGCGCAATGTTGACAGCAAAGAAAATATACGAGCGGTATGTATGTACATATGAACACACATACATACCGACATGTGTATGTGGCAGGTGATCAAACACGTTCATGCATGTGCGTATTCGCGTTTGTTTGAGTGTGTAAAACAACAAAGGACAATCACACAATCATTGTCAGATTCATATGCAACAGCATGTGGCAACATATGTACGCAAATGCATAAACATTTCCACACACACGCACACTTACATGCACGCGGCAATCAAGCAAAAGTTCATTATGTGGAAATGCGTTGTGGGCAGGGGCTGGCGCCAGGCTGCTCGACCCTTGATAGTCCATGGGCGGTCGCTGCCGCAGTGAGGGCTTCATTTCCTACGCTGACAAGCATGCCACCTCGTCGTGCATCATGTGCAACGCGTGCCGCTTGTACACACATCAGAATGCGTAAACCTTATTCGGGGTGCCGCCGAGGGGCCGTAAGGGTTTCAAGAAATATACGATTGGAAAATGAGGGAATCCGCATAAAAACGCTGATTGCAATCCCGTTGTGATTGTTGCATCAATTGGACTTTAAATATGTATGTGGGTACTTTATTATATAAATTTACATGTATGGCATATTAGGGTGGGTAAAAAACTAATGTTTTTTTTCGTTTCGTACTTGGAAAAATTGGTTGATAGACATCTCTAAGAAAGGATCTCCAAGTAGTTGCTCTTAATTGTAACGGGAAGGTCCTCCGACTAACGGTTTTCAATTTTTTTCTTATTACCACATAAAAAAATTCATACCTCGCTTTCAACTACTTTTTGGTAGAGCGGTAAATTTCATACAAAACTATGAGCTTTGCAATTAAAAATTATGTTTTTTCGTTGTGTTATAAAATTAAAATAAAAAATAAAAAAAACAAATTTGCCTTAAAATAGTCAAACTTTAACCGTTAATATCTTATAAACGGTTCGGTTTACGAAAAAATCGTTGGAGACCGTTGTGTTGAGCATTCAATTTTCTACAAAATCTATGAGACGACATATTTTTTTAAGTGGATGAAGAGGCGTTAGCTACGTTGTCAAGCATTTCCTTTGCTACCTCTACTCGGCATAGTTTGGTTGTCAGGTATTTTTAGTGATGGATTTAGGTTTGCCGCCCCCCTAGGCCCCAATTGATTGTTGCGCCTAGGCGTAAATCTATCACTGGGAATTTTGTTACGAGGAATTTTGTTACGAGGCGAGCATTGACACGCTGTATACCCAAAAAATGAACCAAAATGTAATGAGTTGCGCCATAACAGCTGATTGAATCCTCTGCCTTCTCTCTAATGCGAACATAACGATTATTTAGCACCGTTTCTTGAACTATTTTAATATTATCGTCATTAACAGAGGTGGCGGATGGACGACTCACATGAGGCTAGTTTTTGATGACTTTACGACCTTCACTGAATGCTTTGGGCCACGCAAGTACTTGTGTTCGAGATATAGAAGACTCTCCAAAATACTTCTGCAACATTTTAAACGAGTTCGTACCATTGCATGTAACTAAATTTATATATATCTATCTGTCTACGAGTATGCAATCATCATGGCTGCTTGATGTAATAATCGAGGTATCACATTGTTTTTGTTATTTTTACACAATTACATTTACAGCCCTTACGCGGATACGATCAACTTTTTATATTCCACCATTTATTCACATTACAAAACAAAATGATAATACTACAGCAAGTAATTAAGCTTTCAGTCAGGGAATTTATTACATTATTAAAGTAAATAAGACTCGTCTAATTTTCACGCAATCTCTAGTTGTCCCTCTCTCGATTCTCTTTCTCCTTTTGCGCTAATTGATTTATGGCTCATGGCTAACCGTAATATAAGCAGTGAAAGGACATTCATTTAAATTTAACGGTTTTGTCCAAAGATACGCCCAGCCATTACAACTGAAAGCATTAAGTTGGAGCGAACTTTCGATGTGACTGCCGTCACGCCATGCATATTTTCACTCATTTGCGTAACGGCAGTCTTCAATGTAGCATCGCCGTACTACGCACATCACTACTGAATAAATCTGCAGTTCTTCAGTTGTCATGCATGGGCATTTCGTGTTGATTTTCGTGTTGAAATATGCGATTGAGTCCGATGCGACTTATAGCATGGAGATACCGGACACCGTCTGCACTTCAACAGTCCACTGCAATGTAAGATACGCAGTGAGCACTATTGTGAATAGATACTTCGTGCCAAGCTCCAGCGACTTGATGGTGACCGCTCATGCGAAGAACAAACAGTCGTGGCGCCTGATGCAGGATTTGCTCACTTGTGTGGCGCCTTATATGTTTAACATCAAACTGCAAATCGAAACCATGGACGCGTTACGCCTACCAACCCACGCAAGAAATTACAATCTGCTGCTTATTGATGGACCGCAGGCGTTAACGTGAGTATACCATTACAGATAGACTAAGAATCGTTCAAATCTAACATACATTACACTTAGTGAGCTGGATCCCGCATTGTTTACGAAGGACTTTGATTTCCCCGAGCACTATTTGTTACTTCTAATAGATCCAGATACATCTCTTATGCCGAATCTACTCATCACCAGCATCTTGAGCTACTTCTGGCGCAACTATCTCATCAACGTCAGCCTTTTGTATGAGAGTAAACCCGATTATGTCGAAGTCTACACATATTTTCCTTTCATGGATGGAAGTACGTGTAAGGCAAACAACGTGCGTTTAATTAATGCGTACAATGGCACCTGGGCTAAGTCATTGGATACCAATATCTTTCCCAACAAGCTCACAGATTTTCAAAATTGCTCGCTTACAGTAGCTGTCTGGGATGCGCCACCATATTTAAGTTACTACCCCAATAAAAGTGGCTATGCGCAGTTGAGTTCTTTCGAAGGCGATATGCTTGTCGAATTAGCGAGGAAGCTCAACTTCAGTATAGAGCTGGTTGAGCCACCGAACGATGAGCAACGCGGTCGCCGCTTGGAAAATGGTAGCCTAACTGGAGCAATGCAATTGGTAGATAAGTCTTTTTCAAGCATGAATATGTTTGCAATGAAATTCTTCAAAATGGATTACTAATTTTTTCCTCATATACTTTCTTCCACCTCCTTTTCTTTACTCAGCTGCACGATCATATGGCGGACTTAAGTTTGGGTTGCTTCCGTTACACTGTAGAACGTTGCGTGCTGCTAACTGGTGCACTGCCGTACTATCAGTCTTGGCAAATATTTGGTGTCCAGTTGACTGGTCAAACTTACTCATCCGTGGAAATATTCACGTTCCCTTTCGACGCTGGGACTTGGTTTGGACTCTTATTTAGTTTCCAATTAATCCTGCTACTAGCCTATGTTGTATATAATCGCAGTAAGGACTCACCACTTGCCCACATTATGATTGGCTATCCGAGACCACGATCCCCCCTAATCAACGCTTACAGCCTTTTTCTCGGTATTCCCATACAACGAACTCCACGCACAAACTTCGCGCGTTTCGTGTTGATTATGTGGGTCATTTACGGTTATGTGATGCGTAATGCCTATCAGAGCTTTCTATTTCGACTACTACAAACTGATCTATATCGTACACCGCCACAAAATATCTTCGAGCTCATCAAAGCTGGTTACTCGCTCATAATGACTTCGTCTACATTGGACGCAGTGAAAGTGGCCCCTCTGATACAGAACGGTCGCATACCAATTATATTAAATAACAGCACATACGAATGGAAGACGTACGAAATGGTGGAGCAAATAGGTGGAAAGCTGGCTGGTGTTTCACCAAAAGACTTCCTCACCCACTACGTGATGTCAAAGCGTAAACGCGGTCGTTTCTTTGTGCTACCCGATCGATTCTTTGCTCATCACATTACCATATACTTCCCAAAGCATAGCTACTTGATTGATCGGTTCAATTTCTTGCTCATGCAACTGCGCAGCGACGGTCTGATCGATTACTTGGCTGAGAAGTACCTAGACCTGAGTTACTTTGATCCAGTTGCGGCCGTGGACAATGATGCGCTGAATTTAGTAGACCTGGGCGGATTGTTTTTGATATACCTTACGTTAGTTGGATTGACAACGCTGGTATTCCTTGCAGAATTGATGTTCCACAGGTGGGGATAGACAATGTGGTAGGTATGTCCAGCATAAAACAAACAGTTAAGAATTTTTAAAATGAACACAAATATAATAAGCTTAATATGAAATACTCGAGGTTCAGTTCTTTCTATTGGATATCTAGGAAGACAAAATGATGCAGCCTTAAATCTGTTATGTTATTTATCTGTACTCAATTTGCGATAACTTAGATCCGCAATTATAAAGAGTGAAGCCCTTTCCACCAGGGTAGGAAGTTCTTCCGAACTTCCGAAATTTTACTAAGAATTTGGGCTCAAACCGCGATTGATGGGCTTTCTTTCATTTAAAGATATAATGGCGAATCTGAAACTATATATTAAAGTATGGAGAATTGCTGTCGAATTCTCAAGTGTCATTTCAATTTTTTAAACAATTAATCCCTATTTCTCAAGCGACAAACTCTCAACTTGATCTTTGACCTTCTATGTATAGCATACCTACTTTGTAAAGCAAATTTACAAATTGTAAACAAGTTCACGCCATTAAGAAAATAAACTACATAAATACCTCGCCGATCGCTATCTAAAATTACAGACCCATCTATGTTATTTCGCACCAACTTCACTATCACGAAAATGTAAATGGATCGCTACAACAGCGTCAAATATGCACACATAGTGCAAACAAGCGTGGGGTGTGTAAAAAATTCGGCGTGCCATCGTAAAATGATATCTGCTAATGGAAATGGAACATCCTACGTTAACTGGTTAAGAGCATTTCGTGTGCAATGGATGCGTCAGACATGCAAAGTGAAAAACAAAATGGCCTAATGTGGCTTACCGAATAGTTGGTTAAATAGTTCGCATGTGTAACTAGCGAAAGTCACTTTTCGGAAATTGACTTCGAGTAACAATCGACATGGATATCATATTGGGTGACCTTGGGAATGGTGGTTTTGAGAATACTGGAAACTACACACTGGTAATGGCCATTGCTTGGACAATTATGCATGCTTATGGAAATTTTACTTCAGCGCCCTTGGTTATATCCCAGTATGCGAGCAAGCGTCAGAATCACGCTTACCAAGCGCAGCTTATCGACGCCTTAATGGTATATTTGCAGCGTCGGCACTATCGTATCTTCCTTATGGAACAGGAAACGCTATTCGGCAATGAGTCTCGCTCAGACTGGGGAGATTTTTCAGAAACTGCAATTTGGTTTATCGACAGCTGGAACTCCTTTGAGTAAGTTGATAGCACACGAGACCTCAAATGCTTCTAATGCTACATAACTATATTATTATTTGTATACTCCCCAGGGTGCTAGCGATGGATTTGGAAGATCCAAAGAGCACATACAAACGCAGTGGTTTCTTTGTACTCGTCTACACCGGCACCGAAAGCGAACGCTTAACAACAGTTAAACGTATATTTATCCGGTTTTTCGAACTTTTCGTTACAAATATAAACGTTTTCTTGCTAATGGACACAACTGCATTTGCCTACACCTATTTCCCATTTACGCCGAGCAAATGTCATTCGACCAAGCCCGACCTACTGCTATCGTTTCGCAACAACCGCGCAAAGTTTAAACCCAAAAGTCACCAAAGATTTTTCCCCTATAAAATGCGCAATTTGCATGGCTGTGAGTTGGCTATAGTGACATGGCACGCTCCCCCATTTATAATTTTGGATCAAGATCCGGATAGCGGTCGGATCAAATCGGTCGAAGGTATTGAGGGCTTGTTGATTACCATTTTAGCACAAGTCATGAATTTTACTATAAAAATTGTGGATCCACAACCTCGAGATCGTGGAGCTATTTATGAAAATGGAACACTTACCGGCGTCACAAAAATGGTGAGTAGAAGTCCTCTTACTGTAATAGTACTAATTTTAAGCTCTCGCATAATCCATAGATAGCCGAAGGCAACGGAAATATTACGATAATATATATAATGTATGAGAAAAAACGTGCCCAAGTTATGGATGCAACCTTTTCGTACATGAGCTTTCCCTTAATGCTCGCCATACCACATGGACGTCCCCTCTCTCCGTTGGAGCGTCTTTTTAGACCTTTTAAGTACATAATTTGGTCACTGATTTGCTCCAATATCGTGCTGGCCGTGCTTATCATATACGCACTCAAATTTTTAGGCAGCAGCCGAGTTGTCTCTTTTGTTTTTGGCAGCAGTAATCGAATTCCGTTCAGCAATCTGTGGGCCTCGCTTTACGGCAATGTTATTCATAATCAATTACCATATCGCAACTTTTCGCGATACCTCCTGGGCTTGTGGTTGCTGTGCACATTGGTTTTACGCTCCGCATATACTGGACAGCTTTTTATAATGTTGCAGGATGGGCACGCTCTTATATCGTTAAAATCATTTGAGGAGATAGTCAAGCAGAACTACACGGTTAATACCGCACCAGTATTGACAGAGTTACTTAGTTCAACGCTTGGAAATGCGTCTTTTGGTCTTATTGACGGCGATAAAAACACTATGCCGCAGATATTGAAACGGATCGCTAATGGTTCGAAGGAAACACTGACTATAATCGAGCCGGCATTGCTTTACTTCAACTATCAGCAGCCCACGGAAGATGAAAGGGTGGCAATCCTGCCGCAAAAGTTGATCATGACGCCGCTCACAATGTATATGCCAAAACATTCCTATCTGCTTTGGCCGATCAACAATATTATTCTCTATTTTATTGATGTAGGCATAATCGATAAATTTGAGAAAAGATATCGCTCGATTAACCAGATCAATGAATCACAGGAGCCTGTGAAGTTGTCACTGTTTCTGCTTCTGGGCATATTTAGTCTCTATGGAGCCCTAATGATCCTGTGTATTTTGATATTCCTCTTGGAGCTTTGGACAGTTCGATCGCCTTTGACTAAAACGCTGATGGATTTTTTGAACTATTAGGCGAAAAAATTTTAGTGAAATATTTGTAAAAGACAAAATAATATTACTTAGATAAGTAACCAAATTGTTCCCCGCTTTTCTAACACGAATTATGTGCATCTGAATAAAAATTGCTTACATAAAAATCTCAGCAGGTAGCAGCAGTTATTTACAATATATATAGATTGTGCTAATTTTGAATATTATTGGACAATTTGTGTGGTGCTAAAGTGTATAGGCTAGAAATTCCCATACCCATTCATGGACCTTTTCCACTAAAAATAACAGACGTACAAAAAAATCTAGACGGGGCTAAATATATACTTACTCAATGTATAAACAGCTTTTATTTCGAGTATTTTTCATGTTCTGTCACATGGTGAATATCTGAACGATTTTGGTCTGGAGTCACTCTGATTAGACTCGATTGACTTTTGAATCCGCTCTTTTAAAGGAGGTTGATTCAGAAGCCGTCGAAAGAGTAGAGGAAGTTGGTAAAGAATCTTTTGAATGGACCCCCTGAACCCAACGTTGAAGGGAGTTATAATGATCGACCACTTTTCTAGCAATGTCCAACTAGAATCATATAAAAGAAATGTGCTTTACTTCGCCGTCTCTATATGAGGTATCTGCGATACAACAGCCAACAATTGACCGCCGTGAAATTTCTACACCATATACTTTGACCCATATAGTTAGAAACCCCTTTGAAAACTCAAATTGTAATACCAACGACAAGCAATCAAGTATTGCGTTGTCTCAAATTTTAAATCGCTTAATACATGGCCTCGTTTTTAAAGTTCTTTCTCACTGCTTAGAGCACAAATTTTCAACCTTTGGCTTCGAATTGTACCAACAGATAAAATACCTCTTGGCCATAGGGCACTCATCAAGCTTATTTACGTATACCAATTGGCAAAAAATAATTTGAAAATTTGGTTCATGCGAATAGTAGATGCTAAATCAAAAACAATGTCTCAATTTTTCAACCAAATATGTGATATGTTCCTTCTCCCATGTAGTTTGTAAAATCGTAAACAATGCCAGATATACCAGCTCTAGTGAACATTTAAGGCCCCATTTCTGAAGGTTATATGGCAGATACTTTTTCAAAATATGTTAGCCTGGTAATATATTTTGGGATTAATATAAATCTATTGCATATCATTTAGTCAAATTACATCTTAACTCCGTTCTATTAGTTTTTACCGTATACAAGTTGGTTTCGTTACAAATTTTCTCCTAGATTTCGTCTGTAAAAAATAATCTATTGGTTCATTAACTCCATTCAAATAATTTTCATCATCTTTCCTGTACAATATATTTATTTTTAGTTGTCTCTCTGTTCCCGTCTTTGCCTACTAGTTAGCCAATCTTACTAGTTTCGATATTTTCACGAACATTTTAATGAATCGCCTTATATCATACTCATGCAACACCAGCGTCAACATGTTGACTATGCACACATAGTGCAAACAAGCGTGGGGTGTGTAAAAAACTCGGCGTGCCATCGTAAAATGATATCCGTTAATGGAAATAGAACATCCTACGTTAACTGGTTAAGAGCATTTCGTGTGCGTCAGACATGCAAAGTGAAAAACAAAATGGCCTAGTGTCGCTTACCGAATAGTTGGTTAAATAGTTCGCATGTGTAACTAGCGAAAGTCAGTTTGCGGAAATTGATTTCGCGTAACAATCGACATGGATATCATATTGGGTGACCTTGGGAATGGTGGTTTTGAGAATACTAGAAACTACACACTGGTAATGGCCATTGCTTGGACAATTATTCATGCTTTTGGAAATTATACTTCAGCGCCCTTGGTTATATCCCAGTATGCGAGCAGAGCGTAGAATCACGCTTACCAAGCGCAGCTTATCGACGCCTAATGGTATATTTGCAGCGTCGGCACTATCGTATCTTCCTTATGGAACAGCAAACGCTATTTGGCAATGAGTCACGCTCTGATGGGGATTTTTCAGAAGCTGCAATTGTTTATCGACAGCTGGAACTCCTTTGAGTAAGTTGATAGCACACGAGACCTCAAATGCTTCTAAGCTACATAACTATATTGTTATTTGTATACTCCCCAGGGCGCTAGCGATGGTTTGGAAGATTCAAAGAGCACATACAAACGCAGTGGTTTGTTTGTACTCGTCTACACCGGCAACGAAAGCGAACGCTTAACACAGTTAAACGTATTCACCCGCTTTTTCGAACTTTTCGTTATAAATGTAACATTTTTCTTGCTAATGGACACAACTGCATTTGCCTACACCTATTTCCCATTTACGCCGAAACATGTCATTCGCCCTAGCCGACCTAGTGCTATCGTTTCGCAACAACCGCGCAAAGTTCAAACCCAAAAGTCACCAAAGATTTTTCCCCCTAAAGTGCGCAATTTGCATGGCTGTGAGTTGGCTATAGTGACTTGGCACGCACCACCATTTATAATTTGGATCAAGATCCGGATAGCGGTCGGATCAAATCGGTCGAAGGTATTGAGGGCTTGTTGATACCATTTTAGCGCAAGTCATGAATTTTACTATAAAATTGTGGATCCACAACCTCGGGATCGTGGAGCTATTATGAAAATGGAACACTTACCGGCGTCACAAAAATGGTGAGTAGAAGTCCCTTGCTGTAATAGTACTAATTTTAACTCTCGCATAATCCATAGATAGCCGAAGGCAACGGAAATATTACGATTATATGTATAATGTATGAGAAAAGACGTGCCCAAGTTATGGATGCAACTTTTTCGTACATGAGCTTTCCCTTGATACTCGCCATACACATGGACGTCCCTCTCTCCGTTGGAGCGTCTTTTTAGACCTTTTAAGTACAATATGGTCACTGATTTGCTCCAATATCGTCCTGGCCGTGCTTATCATATACGCACTCAAATTTCTAGGCAGCAGCCGAGTTGTCTCTTGTTTTTGGCAGCAGTAATCGAATTCCGTTCAGCAATCTGTGGGCCTCGCTTACGGCAATGTTATTCATAATCAATTACCATATCGCAACTTTCGCGATACCTCCTGGCTTGTGGTTGCTGTGCACATTGTTGACGCTCCGCATATACTGGACAGCTTTTTATAATGTTGCAGGATGGGCGCGCTCTTATATCGTTAAAATCATTTGAGGAGATAGTCAAGCAGAACTACACGGTTAATACCGCACCAATATTGACCGATTTACTTAGTTCAACACTTGGCGGTGCGTCTATTGATTTTTTTGATGGCGATAAAAACACTATGCCTCAGATATTGAAACGGATCGCTAATGGTTCGAAGGAAACACTGACTATAATCGAGCCGGCATTGCTTTACTTCAACTATCAGCAGACCACGGAAGATGAAAGGGTAGCAATCCTGCCGCAAAAGTTGATTATGTCGCCGCTCACAATGTATATGCCAAAACATTCCTATCTGCTTTGGCCGATCAACAATATTATTCTCTATTTTATTGATGTAGGCATAATCGATAAATTTGAGAAAAGATATCGCTCGATTAACCAGATCAATGAATCACAGGAGCCTGTGAAGTTGTCACTGTTTCTGCTTCTGGGCATATTTAGCCTCTATGGAGCCCTAATGATCCTGTGTATTTTGATATTCCTCTTGGAGCTTTGGACAGTTCGATCGCCTTTGACTAAAACGCTGATGGATTTTTTGAACTATTAGGCGAAGACTGCATTAAATAATCGAAAAAATTTTAATGAAATATTTGTAAAAGACAAAATAATATTACCTAGATAAGTAACCGAATTGTTCCCCGCTTTTTTAACACGAATTATGTGCATCTGAATAAAAATTGCTTACATAAAAAACTCAGCATGTAGCAGCAGTTATTTATATATAGATTGTGCTAATATTGAATGTTTTTGGATAATTTGTGTGGTGCTAAAGTGAATAGGCTAGAAATTCCCATACCCATTCATGGACCTTTTCCACTAAGAATAACAGACGTACAAACAAATCTAGACGGGGTTAAATATGTACTTACTCAAAGTATAAACAGCTTTTATTTCGAGTATTTTTCATGTTCTGTCACATGGTGAATATCTGAACGATTTTGATCTGGAGCCACTCTGATAAGACTCGGTCGATTTTTGGACATTGTACTTCCACTTTTCAAGCCATCCGTTCGAATAAACCTTATGGTACATGCATTAATAACCCTCTCATGTCTGATTAAAAATCGGAGCAGCTAAAAAATACTTAAGTTCTTCCAAATCCAAAAGACAATATATCTCTTCGCCATAGGGCAATCACCAAGCTTATATATGTATACCAATTGACAAAAAATAATTTGAATATTTGGTTCATGCGAATATTAAATGCTAAGCCTAAAACAATGTCTCAATTCTCTAACCAAATGTGTGATACGTTCCATGTAGATTATAAAATCGTAAACAATGCCAGATATACCAGCTCTAGTAAACATTTGAAGCCCCATTTGTGAAGCTTATATGCCAGATACTGTTTCAAACTATGTTAGTCTGGTAAAAAAATATATTTTGGGATTAAAAGAAATCTATTGCACATCTTTAAATTTCTGTCAAATTACATCTTAACTCCGTTCCATTAGTTTGTGCCACATACCAGTTGGTTTCGTTACAAATCTTTTGAGAGATTTCGTCTGTAGAAAATTGGTTAAAATAATCAATTGATTCATTCCCCTCATTTTTCAAAAATTAAAACATCAAGTATTTTACTCATCAGTCCAATATATTTTATAAATTACCAATATAACACAATATGTTTTCAGAAACAAAAATCTCTCTAATAGATAAAAAGGTAGAAAAGCATAATTTGGTTATCATAGTGTAGCTATATTTACGATGCGTATAAACTATTTGAAATTAGAAATAAAATCTTGCATATAGATGCTTATGATTTGTCATTATGGTTTTATTTGAAAGTTCTCTTTAATGTGGAATTTATGGTACATTTAGTAACTAATTTGGATTACTCCCATTTCCAAAGACTTTCAATGAGTAAAACAAAAGTACTGAGCACATTTCCGATTAGCCAAACATACCAAGCTCCAGACATTTGCTGCACAGTAACCTTTGCTATTGGTTCCTCGGATCCACTGCTCATTCGGAGACTCATATCCAGCAGCTCTCTAGCCCATTTCTCCCACAAACCCACAGTGGTATATTGCAAAATGATGCCATTGAAGCGATGTAAAAGCATGGAATTGCTTGCCATGTAGAAGCTTAGCTGTTGTGCAAACACCCGTTCTTCAACCACGTGAACGCCCTTGGTAAAGGATTTATTGTAACGCTTGAAGTAACCCACAAATTCGTATGGCGTCAGTATGGCAATGCGCCGATCTGGCCGACGCACCAACTCAAAACTTTCAAGGCGTGATATGTTCAAGACTTGCGCGCTCGACGAAATCACAGGCAGATCGTATATAGTAGCCAAAACATCTTCGGTCATGAGAAGCTGATAGTTCTGACGCAATAACTCCGTTATTGTATTCGGCGGCGGCCGACCTATATTAGACTTAATCAGGTTGTACAAGAAAGCCTGATAAGAGCTGCGCAGCAACATTGTCATTACTAGCCAAAGCATTAGAACGTAGCGTGCGAAATTTCGCTGTGGCACCTGATGTGGGGGCAGTCCACCACCCAAACAAACGTTCAGCATATTTACTCCCGGCATGTGATTCGTGGCACCAAATACGAAGTGATTTGGTGTTACGCCCATCAAATAAAAAACCAGTCGAAGCGCAAATACGCCGAGGTATATGAACAATAGCAGAGTCCAAATGTGACTACTAAACGGAAGAAATAACTTTGCAAACGGTGAGTAGGGCTCCAGGTTGGAGTTGACAATGAAGTTGAAACTACTGAGAAAATAAGGAAATGTGGGTGTGAAAACGTCGTCTTTAGCTGGCGATCTATATGGGAAGCCGCCAACTACAAAATCCGTTCCGTTCGCAATAAGCTTGTTGGAAGCGAGTAAATTGGTTAGCATATAAACATGTAATTAATTTTAAATGTTATGTGCTCACCTCTTTAAAAACCATACCTTTCTTATCCAGGGTATGTGAGCTCTCGTAGTCGTTAAGCAAACGAAATTTCACAGTAAAATTTAAAGTCACTGCCAAATATTCCAACAGTTTGCCTTCAATGCCTGCCAATGCACCGACTTTGCCATTATGTTCCCTCAAACTTCGGTACGGCATTTCCTCCCAAGTGGCACAAACCAGAGCACAGCCATGCAGGTCCGCCAGTTTGTCGGGATAGAAGTTGGTGTGCCACCACTGTAGATTGGTAAAGCGGTTGCTTATGGTTGGTGCCAACCCTTTACAATGGAACTCATTAAAGGGGTGAATGTTGTAGAGCAGCGATAAGTTGGTCAACGCATACACCAAGACATTGGCATCGATTATGCCCAAAAACCAATTGAGCTCGAATATTTCGAAGAGCACGTCATAGTAGTGCGCCGAGTCGTAGGTGTGTAAGACGATAACGAAGTAACCATTCGTGTAGAGGTTATACTTGGCGAACTCCGAATAAAGGGAACTACATGAATGAAGTAGAAAAAGGACAAAGCGTAGGTTAAGTGCCACCAAAAATGAATCAACTCTCTGCACACGAACTTCAGAGAAGCCGCAGAATCGACCAGTAGTACGTTATAGTGACGTTCATGATCGCCCGGTACCGGTTCGCCCATACCAATGCGCACAGTGGTGCCTTTACCCGATAATCGCAGTACATTTTCCATAATGTCATCAAACAGATAACGCCTTTCCGGTCGCTGAACAACGGCATAGAGGTTGTAGGTGAGCACCATTCGGTTCCCGATGAAGCTGCTCTGCACCATCTCTACAATAGCGGCAGAGAGATTTCCAGCAATCTCCGCGTAGTCAGGACCATCTTCCAGACGCTTCCTTTGCGCAAACATTGAATTACTGCCGAGGAACAGCGATAGGAACACGGCGACATATAAAACCGTTCGAAGACACATTTCGAAACTCTCGTAGCACTTAAATTCGTTCTACCGTACCCAAAAATTTAAGCGCAATGTACAACCGCTGCCCTGGAAATTCCATTTTATATGAAATGCCATGTATGTTAATAACACACTCGGTTATTTTCCTATAATTTTGCTAATGGAATTATTAACGTAATTTCACTAAATCGCCATAAAAATAGAATTAAATCGCTGTTATCAGTAATTTACAGACTAGTGGATGAAAGTGAAACCGGAATTTTGTGAGGAATACACAATTCTGTTGTACACAGGCAAGCCCACATACAAAGTGGCAGTCTGGAGCCCGATTTTCGGGATTTTATTAATGCGTGTGCGGTCTTAGATATTTTGAACTCATTTAAGTCGAGACTTAGTCGAATTTTATAATTGCTTTAGAGACTAAACAGTCCTCAGCTACTCTTCCACGTATATTTTTAGACTAAATAAGGTGTTCTTAAAATCCAAGAGTCTTCCCTGGGTGGGTTAAGGTTGAGGGTTCAGACATAGGACATGCTCGATCAGATATAAAATAGTTGACACTTCAACGTGATTCAACTGTCCTATGCTGATTGATCCAAAGTACAGTCTCGATCACCATTTGGTACTCATTAAGTAATTACCTACAGCTACATACATATATAATATTTTTTGATAGGAATTCTATCTGATTCTCATATATTTAGATCATTATTTTTTGGACAAATACACTTATAATTTTTAGAAGAATTTCCGTTAATTTACCCTGCACGTCCCCTCACACACTCGACAAAGAATACCAGCAACGCAATGACCCACATATAACATTGGACCTCAAATATCCCGTAGAGCTGTGTTAGCGTCAAGGATGGCTTGTGTAAGTCTAAACCCTGTTTATTTGTATGAATTTCCCCAACAAACAATCGTGACCAGTGGTCGATTATGCCGCTTGCACGTAAATTTCGCAGTATTATATTCACCGGTAGCCTCAAGTAGGAGTGTTTCGTAAAGTAGACGGAAATGTGATGTATGTAGATATCCTCGTTTAATATTTTGAATTTACCGTTTTTCTGTTCACTAATCATATAGTATTTGAGAAAGTCACTAGGAGTGGATGCCGCGTAATTTTTCTCTGGATTATCCTCCAGAATAGCGTACACTTCGGTATCGCTAACATTCATCATCAGAAGTTCAATCTCTTGATTTTCCACAGCCTTAATTTTGGACATAGAGTCGGCAGTGGACGGTGTTACAACCAACTTGTATCCACGGTGAATCAGTTGGTCCAGCGTCGCAGGTGCCGGGATGAGTTTTTGCGTACTAAAAAAATCATAGAGAAGGGCTTCATAGGAAGATCGCAAAACTAAGGTTAGTAATAGCCACATGACGAATATAAAGCGCGCGAAATTCGCAGACGGTTCGGGTGTTGATATTTGAGCTAAAAGAATACCCGTCCACATGAAAATCATCTCTCTGATATCCACAATTCCAAAGATAAAGTATAACAGGCGTATGCTTAAACGATGTAATATGAAAGCTAGGAATATCGGCAATAGATAGAACATCAGTAAGGAACTCCAGACGTAAATATTGAAGGGATACGTTAAGATTTCGTATGTGGACCAAGGTTCTTGCTTCGCTAACACGGATAGCACCTGATTGGTTTGATAAAATGTCATCGATGAGGTTAGCACCGTTGAACGTTCCAGTGTATGTCGAAAGCAACCCAAACTTAGATCGCCCGATTTTTCAGCCAACTGCAATAGAAAACGAAAAAGGAATAGCAACGGTATTAATTACTATATTAGTTTGAGGAATACTTCGATATACGCACAATTTTAATGGCTCCTGTCAAGGTTCCATTGGGCATCACTAATCCACGTTGCTCGTTACGAGGCGGCGTAATATATTTCACATCAAAATTTAATTTAGCAATCAAAAGGTTTAAAAATTCACCTTCGACACCGCCATACTGCAATACATCCTGCTCGGGTTTGGGCAGCGTTACATAAGGGGGCACATTCCACAGAACTGCCATTATGGAGCAACCATAAAAGTTTCGCACCTTGTCGGGGAACAGGGCTGAGGCACTTAACTCTGTAAGGGATTTACCACGATTTAATTGAATCGGTAGAGTGCTCTTGCAGCGTTCGCGCGAAAATGGAAAATATGTATAAAGCTCTATACCGGTGCCGTTCACTTCCAGGAGCACGTCTACATTTAAAATATAGTGACGCCAACAATAATCGAAAATCTTTGTTAATTCCGACATCAGATGCGAACGATTAGTTAGTGGAGGCATGGCCATCAAATAGAATTCACTGAAATCATTACGCTGAGCATAAAACCCTGGGTCCATGTCACTGGAAGAGTATTTTAATGATGTATAAAATATAATACATTTTCAAGAGATATATTGTACATATGGATGTTTACATGGCTTGACTTACGCCAACGCTTCGTACGAGTCAATCAATAATATGTTGTATAGGTCGAAATTCTTCGGTTGCGGCAAATCCTTAAATACATTGATCTCCACCTTCACTTCATGTGCGGTCGTTAAGACCGACGTCAACAAGTCGATGAAATAATCAGCAGCTTCATCATCTCTTGAGCGCATGGAGAGAGAATAACTTTTTGTATGTTTCCTAAAGAAATTCGCGTGGTAATGCAGAATTGCACTGAACATATGCGAAAACTGCGTGCTTGTGGTTAGTATATTGGCTTCCCCGTAACCCTGCGCGCAGCAAAGCGACAACAGGCAGACAGAAATTGTGACACGCACTATCGTCGACAGCATTTCAATTGCAATTAAACAGGGAATTTCATTTACGAACCTCTAACTAAGCGATTTGCCTACCATTAGTGCCATTAAATTAAAAGCCTTTAATAATCGTAGACGTGGCCTCTAATGAACTATGAAATGTAAACCTGAAACTAGGCGTATCCCTGGAGCCATTAATCATTTGGAAAATCCATATAGCAGAGAATCAAATAGTGGACCCCGATGCCTAATATACGTATGTATGTACATCCTTTTTAATATTTCGCTTTTATTAACATAACCTAGCAATCATAAAGAAACCGATTATAATGCTTTGCAAAATATTTATTACTTAATAATTGACATATTTCAACATGATAAAAAAATATGAACAAGCACTTATGTGTGAATATGACACGTTTTTTATATGTATGTAAATAGCTTTTAGCCTAAATCGAATTGTTTTAAAAACTTTATAAAAATAAATGCACATCTGGGTTTTCTTTCGTATTTTTAACATACATAGTTTTTTTTTTTATAGCTTTTGCAAAAGAATGGAGGAGGCGCCACCGCCACCGTTGCAGATTGAGGCGCATCCGAACTCGCCAGGTTTCAAAGCATGTGACAAGTGCGTCACTAAACGGGCACCTGACATGCCGATTGGATGGCCTATAGACACAGCACCGCCATGTATATTCACTTTGGCCGGGTCGATGTCGAGTTTTTTTATATTAGCCAAAACCACCAGTGAGAAAGCTTCGTTAATTTCCCACATGGCAACATCTTGCTTCTTTATGCCGGCACGCTGCAGCAACTTTGGCACGGCGAAGGCGGGTGCAATGGGAAAGTCAATTGGATCTGTTTCAGCATCCTGGAAGGCTACTATACGTGCAATTGGTTTTAATTTTAAGCGTTCAGCGGCTTCAGCAGTCATCAGCACTGTGGCAGCACCACCGTCATTTAGGGTGGAGGCGTTTCCGGCTGTAACAGTGCCATTTTCCTTCTGGAATACTGTAGACAGTTGGCCAAATTTGTCGAAATTAACACGTTTGAACTCCTCATCTTCCGTGATTGTCACTTCCGGTTTGCGTTTTAACTGTATTTTTACAGGTGCGATTTCAGCATCAAACACTTTTTCGCTCCATGCTTTTGCCGAGCGCTTGTACGATTGTATAGCAAACTCATCTTGTTCTTGACGGCTTATACCCATTTTCTTTGCTGTATTTTCTGCGCAGTTGCCCATATGAAATTTGTTGTAGACATCGGTGAGACCGTCAAAAACGATACCATCGATGAGTTGGATGCCTCCGTAGGGTGTAGCGCCACGTTTCATGTAATATGGTACATTCGACATGGACTCCATTCCTCCGGCGACCACAATTTCTGCTTGACTGAGCATCAGCGACTGTGCTCCCAACATGACCGCTTTCATACCAGAAGAGCACACTTTGTTCACTGTTGTGCAACACACGTTCTTAGGTAAGCCGGCGAAGATAGCTGCCTGGCGTGCTGGTGCTTGGCCCAAGCCGGCAGATACGACATTACCCATAATCACTTCATCTACCTGGTCCTTGCTGATACCGGAGCGCTGTACTGCAGCGTCAACTGCTACAGCTCCTAGTTGAGTTGCCGACAAAGGTGCCAATTGGCTTTGAAAGCTACCAATTGGTGTACGGGTGGCGGATACAATGACCACTTCATGTATTTTCGAACTAAATTTACGTGATTGAGCGCAAAGCGAACGCGTAGCTTGCAAGAATGCGGCCATTTCGATATTGTTTGCTATATAAAATACTCTGAATTATAAACTTAAATACCACCTATACTAAAATATAATGACCTTCGGCCCAACAGGTTGACCAGTAAGAATCCAGATGTATTTTTGAGAGCTGTCAAATATTGCGTAACTAATTAAAAGCAGTGTTGTTATACTTATATTCGGAGCTGCTGTTTCTTAAAATACTTTTATGATATTAATATACGTAGGTAATAATTAAATATATAAAATATTGTATAAAGTTAAAAATCAAATTAAAAAGCATTACCAATTAAATAAAAATATCTTTATAATAATCTGATCATCTATGGGAAAACTTTAGATTAGCATCCCCCGAATTCGGAGATAAAACCGGTATGAGCAGTTAGAGGATGTACTCCTGATAAGAACCGCAGATGACGTATTATATATTCGATATACTCGCACTTTAAGTAGAAAAGTTCACAAATTAAAATATGTATGTATTAGAAATTTTACATTTAAATTTGACAGTTACTCAGTTACAAAACGGTTGCTTGCAAGCAAATTATCTGAGTAACTATACCCATATATTGCAACCGAACATAAATAAAAAATCCGCCCATTCCCATTTTATCCCGGAATTCAGGGGATGCTATACGAAAGCCTAGCCAAAATAATATATATAACGTAATTTCTTTAATTTCATATCAAAATTTGATATATTATTAGGTAAACACATCAAATAATTCACTTCACGCATTTTGAGCCATTTGAGTTGAGTTGGTAATGTTGCAGTGTGCTTTCCTTATACTTCCTTATCTGTTAACTTTGAATGACGGGAGGAATGAAACGACAAAGAAGAACAAGCACACAAGAAAAATTTGCAGATTCACTCAACTAAAAGCAAAAATTATTAAATAAGTTGCAGAATAATTGAAAGGATACATTTTCCATCAAAATGACTACTGGAGCCGTGCCAGCAGAAGGCGTTCGTGAGAAAGCACTTGTGGAATATAGAAAAAAACTGCTGGAGCATAAGGAAGTTGAGTCGCGTCTTAAAGAAAGTAAGTACTTATCTTACACTTAAATGAGTCAAATTAAACATTGTTTATGCCAATCTCTAGAACGTGAGGAAATAAAAGAGCTTACTAAACAATATGACAAGTCGGAAAACGATCTTAAAGCATTGCAAAGTGTCGGCCAAATTGTCGGTGAAGTTCTTAAACAATTGACAGAGGATAAATGTAAGTATTACTTACATATGAATGCAATAGAAGCTCTAAATAAATAAATATTGTTTTAGTTATTGTCAAAGCGACAAATGGACCACGTTATGTCGTAGGTTGCCGAAGGCAATTGGATAAAACCAAGTTGAAATCCGGCACTCGTGTAGCCCTGGACATGACAACTTTAACTATAATGCGATATCTACCGCGTGAAGTAGATCCTCTAGTTTACAACATGTCTCATGAAGATCCAGGAGAGGTGAAGTATTCTGCTATTGGAGGACTTTCTGAACAAATTCGCGAATTGCGTGAAGTTATTGAACTGCCACTGTTAAATCCAGAGCTTTTCTTGCGTGTAGGTATAACACCACCAAAAGGTTGTCTGCTGTACGGACCACCTGGTACAGGAAAGACCTTATTAGCCAGAGCAGTAGCTTCCCAATTGGATGCAAATTTTTTGAAAGTTGTCTCTTCAGCTATTGTGGATAAATATATTGGTGAGAGTGCCCGTCTCATTCGAGAAATGTTCAACTACGCCCGCGATCATCAACCCTGTATTATTTTTATGGATGAAATCGATGCCATTGGTGGACGTCGGTTTTCCGAGGGCACATCAGCTGATCGTGAGATTCAGCGTACGCTTATGGAACTGTTAAATCAAATGGACGGTTTCGATTCTCTAGGTCAAGTTAAAATGATAATGGCTACCAATCGTCCTGATACTCTTGACCCAGCTCTTTTACGTCCTGGTCGTTTAGATCGTAAAATTGAAATACCACTACCTAATGAGCAAGCACGGTAAGCCTCTTTAATATTAAAATAATTTACATTTTTTAAATTCAAGATAAATTTTTTATATATAGAATGGAAATTCTTAAAATTCACGCTGCAAAGATTGCAAAGCACGGCGAGATAGACTATGAAGCTATTGTCAAGTTATCGGACAATTTTAACGGCGCTGATTTAAGAAATGTGTGTACCGAAGCAGGTCTCTTCGCTATCAGGTAACAAGTTATATACTATAAATATAATTATGTATTTTTATTCATACTATTTCCAATTTTTTAGAGCTGATCGCGAATACGTTATACAGGAAGATTTTATGAAAGCTGTTCGCAAGGTAGCTGACAACAAAAAATTAGAGAGCAAATTGGATTACAAACCTGTATAATTTAGATAGAGATACAAGAAAAATAAAATTTTCTACAAATTACTCGATTTAAAAAATATACTTTATTTGATGCACATATTTAACGTAAAAATAATTATTAGACAAATAACTTGGCCAACCCAAAAACTACTTTTGCCTATCCTCAATCCGACGTTTCTTGCGTTCTAGATAATCACTCACATTGTCATATCGTTTCTTAAACCAAGCTGATACATCTTCAGGCTTCCACACTTCCGATCTGAACTGTTCCTCTATCATATTAATACAGTCAGTTGGTATGATTAGTTGACCATCCGTCACGTTCGAAACTTTCAAGCTAAAATGTTCGTCAACAATACTACTAGCATAAAGCCTTTCATTTACGAAACAAATATTGCTTATAATCACATCCGGATAACTAAGCTTTGTTAGCTCTGTTATAAACCATTGATCCTCACAGCTGTTACTAATTTCGTAAATAACAACACTTTCACCCGGTTGATATAACAATACTGAGGCTTCAAATTTATTTTCACACTTCGGTCGCAAGCAAAGTTTTAAGGCAGGTGCTGGCAGATCAAACTTGGATATTTCTCGGCCACTTATGAAATTCCAAATACGTAAAGTTTTATCTCCGGATATGGAAACAATTGTGTCCTCACTCAAAAATGTTAGTCCAGAAACAAATTCTTTATGGCCAAGACAATAGCCGTATATATCATGTGTTTCAGGATAATTAGTTATGCGGATTTTGTCATCTCTATCACAAGTGATAATATATTTAGAATCTGGCGTCCATAATACATCGTAGACTATGCTCAGATGGCCGAATAAGAGTTGTGGTTCCGCTTCGAAATTTACACAATCATATTTGTAGCAATCTCCTGACTTGTCTGTCACCAAAAGCACCTTGGAGTCTTTGCTAAATGTAAGAGCACTTGAAGCACGTGCTAATGGTCTCACTGACACAAGTTTAGCGTGTTCAGGCCGGCATTGGTAGAGCAAGACAGCTTTTTGACCTGCAGTAGTTACAGCACATAAGCAATGATCCGTGGAAAGTTCAACATGAAGAATGCTAGGTAAATCTGGTTTCACTTCTTTTGGCTTCTTCGTCACTTTAGATTGTTCACTTTCACCCTCGCCGTCCACATCAGAAATACCTTTAGAGGCTTTCAGGCCGACTTCAGTCAAATCATTAGGTATTTCTAATTCTTTAAAAATTTGCAAATCTTTTGGATTTACGAAAATCACTTTTCTATTCAAAGCAATCACCAGTTCAGGTTCGGCATAAAAAAGCGTCGTCATTATTGTAAATAAATAATTAAACGAAAATAAGCACAAATGTTAGTAATGCAATTTGCCTCTTTAATTCACAGCCATTTAGGACAATTCACAATGGCAAAGATTTGTCATCACACAAACAGCTGATTACATTGTTTATACCGGCCAACAACTAAATAAAAAGAAACAAGCTATTGAAATGACTTCGACAAAAGTACAAAATGAAACCAAGTATCCTGTTTATATTGTACTGGGTTCTGGGGGGCACACCGCCGAAATGTGCACCATAAATATGGCGCTACTAAGTTCCGCTAGAGGCAAGGGAATTTACAACCCACTCCGCTATATTATAGCCAACGACGATATCACTTCCCGAAGCAGAATAACAAGTGCCATGCAAAAGGTTGGTGTGGCCCTAGATGATACATCGTTTATTTATGTACCTCGTAGCCGCAAAGTGGGACAAAGCTACCTTAGCAGTGTATTTACAACACTATGGGCATTATTATGGAGCATTTGGCTTGTGTGGAGTGGTCAACCCAAGTTATTACTCTGCAACGGCCCAGGAACATGTGTACCATTTTGTATAGCAACTTATATTTGCAGACGAATAAGGCGCTTGCCAAGTAAAACTAAAATCGTATTTGTGGAGAGTTGGTGCAGAGTACGTACACTTTCACTTAGCGGCAAACTGCTTCGCCCTTTTCTTGACTTACTGGTGGTCCAATGGCCGGCGCTAGCCGAAAAATATAAAAACGCCAACAATGTAAAGTACTTCGGAAAAATTATGTGAACATGTACAATATAATTTATTTGGTGAAAAACAAGGCCTAGAAGTTCTAATGATGCCGCACAAGTAATTATGAAGAACTTTAGCAAAACGAAAACAATGCAAATTTTGTAAAAAAAAAATATAAATAATAATAAACACATAAAATTTAACTTAACTAGGAAGAGAGACAATCGTCAAGGTGATCGTTGATCGTCTCTTGTTCAACCTCCTGTCCACAATTGGGACACTGAATTGTACTTTTTAGAATATTTCTTTGACGATATAACCTGGTGTCCTCTGGACTCCAACCGTCGTTTGTGGAATTGGTCTCAGGCCTGTTCGGTGAACTTAGGTTGATATTACTGCTACTACTGGAAAATTCATCATCGCTTGTCGAAGTAAGGTTAATTAAATCTTGTTCGGAATAGCCAGCTTTTCGAAGAATATCTTTACGAGAAGGGCGTGGTGTGCGCGTTGGGTTTAATGGTCGCGATGTAGATGATAATTTTTTCAGCAAATGCTTAGGTGCAGCAATTTTAATCGCTATGCCAGTACAACCGTCCATATGGTCGGCGAATAAACAGCGTTTCATTTTACCTTGGCAAATTGGGCAAGTAATGATGTCATCGTTAGGGTTGGGAAAATGATAGGATCCAGAAGGTTTGACGTCATTTTCTCTATTGAAATCCTTCAACATTGTATCGGCGCCAAAAAATTCATCTATCACAGAAGTGTCTGCTAATTCCGCAGCTGCTGATATATTAGCCATTTGATTATTGTCGTCCTGTGCATTATCATCATACTCATCATCAATAAGAATGATATCCTCATCCAACAAATCATCAGTGTCTTCAAGGATCTCGTCTTTGATAACTTTATGACGTTCATCAGCCGTTAGTGGAGTGGATCGCTTCGGAGGTTCAACTCCAAAACCGCTTTCGTTGTCATCGGAGTCACTTTCATCATCCGAGAGAATCGCAATAGTCTCCGTAGGCGGGTCTCTTAACATTATATCATCGTCTAAGACTAGCCAATCCTCAGTTTTAGGTTTCTTTACTGCGTCAGCTGGTTGCAAGATATCGTTGGACAGTCGTCTACGTTTGCCACAATCTTAAAAAATAAAAATATTTCATAAGATCAATTGTAAACAATTGTACAGTTCCCTCACCTGCTGGCGCTTCTGCATCGCTTTCAAGGAAACGTGAATTTTTCTTATTGTTTTCTATCATGGTATCTGAACTTCTATTTGTTTTATTTTTATCGAAACGTTTTAACCATAACTCACGTAGATGATTACGATCCACTTCCCCACTCGGACTATTTTTGGAGCATGCGCTCAAATGACCTGTGGCACCTACTTGGCAACCACTACCACTGAAAGCAGCATTTGCTCTACTATTCGTATTTACGCGGCTAGCGGCACCGGTAGTAGCGTCAGGACTACTATTTAGATTCGCAAAGCCAATAACGTTTCGTAAGTTACCACCAGCTGACGTATGCCGAATTGGCGTTTTATTAGACCCAGAAATTGTGTTTGTATTAAATGGATCACTTGATAGACCTGGGTAGGAAGACGGTGGAAAAGCGGAGGCTATAGATGTTTGGCGATCAATTGGTTTCGTAACTGGTGCTTTTGTCTTTGGGTTCAGAAGAAGGATACCGCCGCCATTTGTTTTGATAGGGCCTACAAAAAAAATGAAAGCTTTGCAGGCGCAGATAGGGAGCGAATAATTTGAACACACACCTTTAACCCCAATAACGCCTGAAGTTCCATTATTAAAGCCTTTCACATTATTGGCGTCCGACAATTTTGGTGTAGAGCTTATCTGTTTGTTTGTAGAAGGGAAGAAAGTGCGCAAATCTTTTCCTTGCTGTTGCTTTGGTTCTTTGGAGGCGTTTTGCTTTTTTGGTTTATCTGGGCCTTTAATTTTCATGAAAGTGCCACCACAAGACTCCTGATGTGCTGCCCACCACTGGTCATTGGGACCAGGTGCTCGATTACACGTGCGTTTTACATAGCCGAAAAAAGGGGCGCGATTTTGGCAGCTTCCATTACATCGCCACCAGTGCTGTTTATAAACATCTACTTCATCATGGAATGTATGGTATACCTAAAATACTTACATTATACACAGATTTTATATTTTTCATACATACTTACTGTTATATTGGTACCAGCCACTTTATTGATTGCATACATGATCTTTTTAAAATTTGGACCGTGACCGCCGTTTCCTTCCCGTATATTCAAAACGAAACAGTATGCATGTATCATTTCGTGCTGAAAGAGATATTTTAATGTTTACTTATAAATTAAAGCATCCAGCACTACAAACCAACATCGTCTCAATCAAGTCTTTACGTGGTCTTAACTTGAGCAGAGGTTCACTTAAGCGGATAGTAATATCCATACCGAAACGATTACGTCGCGAATAACATATTCCAGCACAGCTATACATGCGCTTGCTCCACTCCAAGGTCACACACTTCAAGCGGCTTTGAAAAAACTTATCATCAAAGGCGGCAAACAGTGCGAATATATCTGGTGTAGGATCCAGCGTTTCCCACTGTGGATGTACAAGATTTTGCGTACGATTTAAGTAGTCTTCGTCTTGGTTCGAAGTCGGATTACTACGCTTTATACGTAAAGGTTTCTTTGCAGGAGGAGGCATACTGAAGTTGACAATCTCCGGTTCCTTGAATTGTATATATAAAATTAGAAATTTTAGAATAATAATATACCCAAAACCTACGCTGCCATCGCTGCTATTCAAATCTGTGCTTGAATCGGCGTTCCATCGCTTTTGCATTTCCAGCGCCATTAAAAAATCTGGATCATTCGACATTTCCAATATTTAACTTAGCTTCTTAAAAAGCTAGCTGCACAAATCATACCAAACAAGAATTTTTAACTCACTCAACTTAACTCAAGAAGTGCGATACAGACAGAAGTAGCAAAGAAATTTTCGCAAACCGCGCGCGGAATATATGTTTACTAACATGTAAATCAGAGATAAAATGTAAATTGTGCTACCATATGTTTTCTGCTCACTTCCTGTTCACATATCCTTTTTTTCACTGACGTTAAAACAGGACGACATAACACTCAATTTTTATTCATGTATGTATAAATTTGAATTCAATAAAGTAGAATTTAAGTACAATTAATTGGGGAACCAATGATTTTTTGAATAGAACTGCACATTAATCTGAAACTATTTGTTTACATTTTGCACATGCGATGCGATCACGATATATATTTTAACAATTAGTGGTAAACAGACATTTCTTATAAATATAATTATATGGCAATGCTAAGCTTTCGGATGTAGAATACGAACAGTGCCAAATTATCGATTAATGTGAAATTGTCAAAGGCTTCGTTCATTAATCTTAGAGGATAGAAAAATTGCAAGATTTTTATTATTGCAATTATTTGTTAATATTCATGGAAGGACTTGTTAATTACAGTAGCGAAGACGAACAGGAGGAGACAATGGATCATATAACTGTAAGTATATAAATGCTTATGCATAGAGTAATTTATTGCGAAGTAAAAAAAAAGTACGTATGGGGAAAATGGCGACGATGAAAAATGTGTTCTATGTGTGTATACGTCCTTTACCAATAAATAAAATAAAGAAAGATTTTTTTCGAATATACTACTGATAACTAGCAATTTACAAAGTTTAAAGAAAATAACATAGTTTGCTGTTTATGACTAGTTGCCAAATTCCTTTAGGCTGAACGCGGAAGCGGTGGTCACAGTCCTGGCAGAATAAGGCGTTCCTATGAAAGTGAAGCCACAATGATAGGCGATGGTAGTCGTGGAGGGGGTAAACGTGGTTCACCACCTGCCCGCAACAGCAATTACAGAGATGAGGTAAACATATGTATTTTATTTTCATAAACAAATTGCACTGTTTCTTGGTGCTTTTATGTATTTTTTGTACGATTTATATATAATCTGAGATTTTTAATTACTAGGGTTACGTGTATGGATATATCCGTACACCGAAAGGATGTAGAAAGTCTAAAATGTGTTAGCGTTATTTAATACATTCAAAAAAAGTTATAACAAATTAATTCATACAGATTAAATTTTTTTAGCCATTATTAATAAACATTTGTAAAATTTATCTTAGCTTTATTTTTTAAATTCGTTTTATCCAAAATTAAAAAACAAATTGATAATTTTCGTAAACACTTATAAGCCTTTATATTTATTTGTTATATTAGTATATCTTGTCTAAATTAAAAATCGTTAAAACCTATTTCAAGTAGTGAAAAAATGTATATATTTATGTACGTTCATATTCTGGTCAATAAGAGGTTCAATGAAAAGTTTTCGTCAATTTTTTGGGTTGGTTGTTGTAGGGTTTCAAGTAAAATCGAAATGGCCTTGAAATATGAAAAAATAGTTTCCGGGCTCCGCTTATTGTTACCTCATTTCGCTTGTTCAATAGGCATTCCCATTATTATTTTTTGTAAATACATAGCTATAATTTTATATTAAAATCATTTAATTAACAAACTATCCACTTTTGTTATTGTTGTTATATATAAAATGTCGAAAAGTTACAATCTGCATCTCTACGTACGCACACCTACATACATAACTATAAATCAAGCCAGCCGCAGACCTGGTTTGGTCGTGCGTAAAAAGCAAATTTATATCCGGCGACCTGAAAGGAGCGCACAAATAGAAAGTGTAACTTAAAAATTTTCCGCCAGAAAGAAAAAGACCCTAACATTTTTTATAGGAATGCGAAAAAAAATACGAAGGAGCCTTTTTCTATGTGTGTTCCCATTACATACTTAACTTTACTGTGTAGGAGTTGAGCTGTAAATGAACGTGAGTATATATGCAAATTAACAAAAAAGAATCAGTAATTTAATTTTTGTTGCAGGAAATTTAATTAACTAAAGAAAACATTCAAAACAAAAAAATTACAAACAATATATCTACATAAAAAATTTCGGTGGGCATGGGTATAACGTAACATATAAAGCGTATATATTTAGGTTTAGATGTATATTAGAATAACCTTTCGCAGACTTTTAATAGAAAAGCGAAGCCAAATAATAACTTGACAGTTTTTTCGTACATAATTTTCTCTTCCAGGACACACAAAAGCAGAGCTCTTCCTTTGGCAGCAGTAAGAGACCAACATCATCAACGTATCACAGTCGAGACAACAAGCGAGACAACCGCGATAACAGGAGAGAAAGTCGCGACAATGTACGTGATCATAGAGAAGAGAGGGAATCGAGAGATACTCGTTATTCAAAAGATCACACTCGTTATGACTATAAAGTAACGTACACTCAATATAAAATAAATTATTTTATGAAATTAATTGTAAATTTTCAGAATGATCGTACGCGTACAAGAGATTACCAAAATGATCACAGGCGAGATCGTGATAACTTTGATAATCGGCGACCACCTCGTGATGATGATCGTAACAGGCCCTCATCTTCTTCATACAAAAATAATCGCTATGGAGGTAATGGGCGCGATGAACGACCTAGACATGATTCCTCGACTATAATTGCGGGTCCTTCATCATTACGTCAACAACATCACAACCGCTCACTCGATCAACGACATACGGAGCATTATGATCATTCTACTAGTCGTCATCGACGTCGTAGTAACTCTCGCTCTCCATCTCCTTCAACTGCGCAACGGCATTACCATAGTAAGCGTTCGGCTCACGATGAAAAGTCATATTCGCGTCATCGCAGTCGATCACGTTCACGCTCTATTACCCCGACACGTTCTGATTCCCGTGAAAAAGATCGGGAAGGATTTGCTTTAGAAAAAGCGCGCTTATCAGCTCAGGCAATGGAGCGTAAAATACATACCGATAGTCATTCATCACAAGAAAAAGGAATTCAGTCTCTACACTCCAGCGCACGTACAGAAGCACTGTTATCTTTACCATTAAATGAAACTGCGCCAAAGCAGCCAAACGTGATTGCTGTTGCACCAGTTCCTTCAACCTCTTCTAATAATGGCGGTGAACCAGCGGTCATCCAACTACCCAGTTACTATAACCCCAATGTTATAAATCCAAACAAATATGCTGAGCAGGTACAGAAGCGCAAACTGCTATGGGGAGCAAAGAAAGCGGAAGATACCGCTGCAAAATGGGGCAATGCACAATTTTCTCAAGATACCGATGGGAAAGTTGCATCCAAATTTATGCGTCTGATGGGCATAAAAGGCAGCGGTCCCTCGAAGAGTGAAGAAGTGGTTGAACAAAAGGTTGTTCCGACGGTGGCACCAGATGTCAAAACGAGGGAGGTAATGTTCTCAAACATGGAGCAGCAGTATGAGGTCGCACGCCAAGCTACTCATACAATGCGTGGTGTCGGTTTAGGTTTCAGTTCACAAGCTCGACCGTTTTGAATAATATGTGCGAGCAAAGTGACATGCGAAGTTGAGGAAAACTATCTCAAATTGTTCAATTTTCGTGTAGTTTAAATGACACGCAACACATGTTTATAATATTTGTTTCTGAACCTATGTATGAAAAAATAATTGGTATGTTAAATAAACCCATAAATGAATAAATGAATATGTTGTGGAAAACTAGATTGATGTTTGTTAATTGGAATAGCAGTATGTGAAGTATAACAATTATTTGTTTTACTTTCGAATGAAGGGTAGAATGGAGACACTATTTTACCTTAGGTGCTTCAAAAGGGCCGCAACGAATCCTAGTGCATTTACACTAATAATTTTTCACAGTGTAGGCAATATTAAAACAAATCGAACAGAGAGTTTGAACGTTTACTATCAGCTGATTGTTGACAGCTAAAATGCAACAACAAAAACAAAATACAAGAAAAAGCGATTTTTGCCAAGTTGTCAACGTAAAAACGCAAATAAATAAGTTAACAATTTAAAATACACAAAATTTTATTGTGTAAACAAAGGAAGTAAAATAGTTCGATAGTTATACAATCTCTGGTGCAGTTGAAAATATGTCTTGGCTCAACAGCAGTCTTAGTACATTGAAAGGTCAACTAACGACACTGGCTCAGGAGGTACTTGCTGAGACAGCAGGTCCAGGGGACGAAGAATACCGTGGTCCAGAAAGTGAAACACGGACTGCAGTTGAGTTGCTTGCAGATACGCAAAATGAAAACGAGCAATTGAACAAATTATGCAATGAAAAGGATATCGAAGTAAGTAGGCACGAGCAGGCAAAAAGGTGTAGCAATTATTAGTTGTTAAAAGTGATTTGGCAAATTATACCATTATTTTGAAAAATATTTTGTTAAGGGTATCAAACAACTTTGTTTACATGACAATAGTTTGAGATCGTAAACCATTATTTTTAGTCGATTCAGTCATGTAGATTCTACAGTAATACATCAGTTCTACTGAACCAATATCATTGAACTTTTGGTGCCGCAATTGGAGAGTGTGCATCATATATGTAATTATAAAATAGAGAAATTTGTTCTCTAATCCAAATTTTACTTAATTTCGTAAATTTATTGTTCACATACACATGTACCATATATAGCCTAAACTAAATATGCTTTCATTACAGATTACTTTACTGCGCAAGCAAATTAATGAATTGCAAATGAAAATCGCCGATAGTGGAGGTGGATCTGCAAGTTCTTCGAAATCGGTAAGTGGAAATTAATACAAAAGAAATGTATTTGAGAAAGAGGTTTACCGTCGGCCATCGCCGTCGGCTCTAATGAATCCTTTAAGATCCCTTTTTTCTTTTATATACATTTTTTTTGTTAATGTTCGATGCATGTATGTATAGACGTCTATGTACATATGTATGTCTGAATACCCCACTCTAGTATTTCTTTTTCATTTTTAAATTCAATGTGAAGTGTTTTATACCATTTTATTTTCGCCAATATTACTGGGGGTGCGGCAACAGTTATCGCAAATCTATGGTTGCTTCATATATGCATATATAAACGTGAATACAAAGTTATATATGTATATAGCCTGTGAGTGAATGTGCTTCTCTGCTCTATCCCTAAGTTAATATTTGAATAATGATATGACTTAAAGAACGAATGCAAACAACCACACTGTGACGCTTATAACGACACAAATGCGATAAACCAAAGAGCGTCGGCGTTGTAGCGGCAATAGTTTACAGTAACGCGATATAACTGGTGTTCTGCATCAGTCCAACTTTGTTCATCGCCCCTTAAATCAATAAAATATAAAGTTAAACACCACAAAGCGATACTTTTGAGCACATCCTTAACCAAGTCTGTGGCGTCAGGTAGTACCTACCTGGCATTACAAAATCCACCTTTTCATTTCATATGCTCAAATCAGTAAATAAATGAGCTCTATTTGTATGACATTTGAATGTGCAATGTGTTATGTTTATGCTTAGATTAATTCGCTTATAAAATAATACATAATTTTATCTTTGCCGTATATGCTTTTGCTGTTGATAAGCATTCAACGCGCTCACATAGTCATAAATATATGTGTATACCATAGTTATGAATTCTAAGTAACATTGTACATACATACACCATTCTATATATCGTAAGCGTATGCAAATATACTTACAGACTAAATACTCTTTATCTACATAAGTCGATCCGTTAAATAAATAACAGCTCTATGCATAAGAGATGTATATGAAATTGGTCGATATGAGTAAATTTTTAATAATATATGTACATTTGTATTATATACGTTTATATATATGTATGCACATAAATGTAATAAATTTTTATCAATATCTCATTGTGCTGAGATAAAGGCATATTTTTCTATAATCAATCCCAAAATTATATTTTAACGGTTTTTTGGTTTCACAACTGTACTACTTCCACAAGCCTTGTAATTTTATGACAATAAATTCGTACTGAGAAAACTGCGAAATGGAGTCATCAGACATCTTTTAACTTTCCCTAAACAACCTTAGTCTCAACGCAGATTATTTGTTTGTGTTATTGAATAGATCTCTCTCTTTACCGAAGAGTACTAATTTTAACAGTAATAAGCATTGAAATAAACGATTTACTGCTTCGAGAATTTATTAAATTTATCTGAAAGATCATTGCGATCGCAACAAGTATGTGGAAAGTTGTAAGGCACAGACATAGTCGCTCCAAATATGCCAGTATATCGCACTCCGGACTATAATAGAATGTCTCTGGATGTCTCCTCAACCTCATCTTTATGGTGAGACAAGCATGTTAGCGGATCATAGCGAACTCTCTAATCTAGATATTGTAGAATATTAAAATTCTTCTTATCCAAACTAGACCCTAATATATTCACTATATGCTCTGCATGCAAAGAGTCTCCGCATGAATCTCAACACTTATTTGATATGCCTTTTCTTATGGTCCGACCCCGTCAAAACAGCGCCTAACTGGGTCTATCGGTTTAATTTTCGGCCAAAAAGGTGTTTATATATACGCTACAACAATAACGGGATGTGAAAAGCAGCAAGATCATTTACACTTAATACAATGCTCCGGTCGAAAATCCACACTGCTTCAATCTACAATATCTCTATTCAAACAAAGCATTTTAAAAATTTCCACTTTTTTATTTAAAAAGTGAAAAACGCCATTTTGCGACACCTTCATCTTCCATTCTCATAATAACTACAATACTCACGCAAGAAAATAAAATTTGTTTAATTTTACCACAGTTTGATTGTCACCATTAAAATTGATTCGCCCATCGACGACCCCTTTGGGCTCATTCGCCACCACAACATACACGAGTATCGATCGCATCTGTCTATTTTTGTGTATCGCTTCACAGCCTAGCTGATAAACGTGGCTAAAAATGTGCTCGTTCCTTTCATCCCCTACTACCACGTGTGCGTGCGCCTAAAACTGCGCTATTATCTTCGGGTTGCTTATCTTGCCTAATTGTGTATGCAAAACATCCACGCGCTTCACCAACTGCGCAGCTGCCCCTCCACTCCACGGCAGATCATTATCGTGGCGATAATGTATTTGTGATCCCATTGAATTGTACAGTTTCAATGTTTCGATATCCATATGTCTGCCAGCCACCCCTTTGATTGCCACTTACATGCGCGTGTGTGTCGTGTGTGGAACGTGCAGCGGGGGTTGTCTGTCAATATGTATATACGAGTTACTCTATATATTTGGGTACACTATATACTAGATTGTCGGGGCTCTGAGGACGAGCTGTGTGGGTATAAAAGGTGAACCACCTGCTGGATTTCACTTCATTACAGTAATTAATTCAGCAGTTGTTGTCGCTACGATGCCGCTGCAATCGGCATACAATTAGAAAGCAATATTCAGCGATTCGCCACGTAGCAGCAAGGCGAAGCGAGCCAACCGTGCACCCGCATAAAGTGCAAATTTTCTTCACGGTTGCATTCGTCGCCGCCGACTTAACTGACTTCACTTTTATCGTTGCTTTTCGTTGTTTTCTTTGTTTTCAAAAAATATACGAGTGTATAAAAACGGGCATTTTCGTCGGCCTAAAAAGTACGCGATTTGCATTTTAAATGTCGTGAATTGTACTGCATTTTGCTTTTGTAATCGCGTATATCTTGTGTAACATTCCAAGCCACATTCAATTTGTTTACTAAATTCATGTTGTAATCGCGTTGTTGTTTTTCGAAATACAAGTATTGCACAGTGACTGAGGGGTAAGTTTCCGGAAGAAAAATACTATATGTTTTTTCTTCAAAAGCATTAATTTAATTGAAAAACATTGTTTGGATCATTGTAACTTTAGCAAAATATATATAAGAATATATATTTACATACATATATTCACTTTAAATATTATATAAAAAACTGCCAACAATTAATACTTTTTTCATAAAAAAACAAAAGAAATAATGACAACTAATTATAAATAAATAAAATATTAAAATTTCCAAATAAATTATTTAAATATAGAAAATATTGTTTTTCAGCCGCTACTTAAAATGGAGAGATGTATACTTTTAGGCTGCTTTTAAAAGATTTCGATAGTGCAAAGATATATTGAAACTTAACTTTATTACAGTTAATTCAAATCTGTTAAATAATTCTCCTTTACCAAAACCGATTTTTAGTTACTTGTTCTAGGGCCACGCGTGGTCCAGTCTTATCCAAAACTGTCGAGTTGACAGATAAGTCTAACTGTAGATACTGAATGGTCAGTCACATGTATATGTAGTTTTTGACATTTTCTCATTCCTTCGTAGTTCAATTAATTATTTTCGACTCAGTGCAGTAAATGTGCGGAAGCTGCGAAATTTGCAACATATTTGTCTTTAAAATTATTTATTTAAAATTTAATCTCCTTTTTATTCGCTTACTTTTTCATTTCGGTGTCACCTTTGAAAATGGGTTGGACAGTTCTTTATCGTTTAAGTTAAGATGGGAGACAAAAAATAGTCAGCGTCCAAAAAGTCTTTCAATAGAATAAAATGTCAATGCTACGGCAGGTGTTTCACCAATGATTTCGTAAGATAAAAATGCTTGGGGTAGTCAGAGGCACGAAAAAATTAGAATTTTCAGTAAGTTTTTCACATTAAATCATCTTATTTTACAAAAGTAGTAATTTGGCATTATTAAACAATGTTTTGAAGTCACGAA